AAAAAAAAACCGCGCCGCCCCCCCCCCCCCCCCCGCCAAGAAATTCCTACCTACAGGCCTGGCCCTGAGGCCGTCAGAGGAGAGCTTGTTCAGCCCTTGCTCAGCCATGGGGCTGTGCAGCCAGCCATGCAGCCTTCCAAGGGGGCTCTCCCTAGCTGGGGGAGGCCTGGTTGTATTGCTGCCCCACAGGCACACGCAGATGGGGCTAAGCCAAGTCTCTGCTGCAGCTGTCCCTCCGGCCAGCCCATCAGGGGCTGGGAACCCCAGCCCAAGGGCTATGCCCCAGGCTGCCAACAGGCAGCGACAAGTCAGGGCTTCTACAATCACCCACCCATCTGCCAGACTCTGCCCCAGAGCTGCTGCCCCCTCCAGCCCAGCTCTGCCATTGTTCACGGAGAGCTCTGGCGGGACCAGTCACAGGCTGTGGCCCCATCCATCTCACTAGGTGACAGCTGGTGGGTAGGAAGGTGGAAAATTTCAGCCTTGCCAAGTGATTGGCCTGGTCAGTGGTGGGGGCTCACACCCCAGCGACTGTCACACCCGTCGCCAGCAGGTGTTTGTTCCCCTGGCTGTTTGCAGACGCCGGCATCTCAGAAGCGGATCAACTCCGGCTGGTGAACGGCTCGAGTCGCTGCACCGGGAGAGTCGAGGTGCTGCACAACCAGCACTGGGGGACCGTGTGCGATGACAGCTGGGACTTAACCGATGCCACAGTCGTGTGCCGGCAGCTGGGCTGCGGGACGGCGCTATCAGCCCCACTTAGGGCTCACTTTGGACGAGGATCTGACCCCATCTGGCTGGACGACCTTCGCTGCACGGGGACAGAGGCTGCCCTCTCGGATTGCAGGGCTCGGCCGTGGGGGGACAACAACTGTAACCACGGAGAAGACGCCGGGGTTGTGTGCTCAGGTGACCCTCCTCCGTCACAGTACTGTTTTCAGGGAATTATCCACAATGATTCCAAGGTCTCTTTCTTAAGTGGTAACAGCTAATTTAGATCCCATCATTTCTCTATGTTTAGTTGGGATTATATTCTTCATGTGCAATACTTTGCGCTTGTCAACACTGAATTCCAGCTGCCCTTGTGTTGCCCAATCTCCCAGTTTTGTGAGATCCCATTGTAACTCTTTGCAGTCAGCTTTGGACTTAACTATTTTGAGTAATTTGGTAGTGTCTGCAAATGTTGCCACCTCACTATTTACCCTTTTTCCAAGAACATTTATAAGCTTAACTGTACTAGTCCAAATGCAAATCTGAGCAGCACAACACTCATGGTTACTCTTTTCCCCTCCTATCTTTTTATTGGAGTACCTGGCAATGTTTTCATGATGCTCTAACAATCCTTCAATTACTGGAATGCCCCAGGCTTTAGTTATTCTTAATCACCTGCCTCCCTCTTTTTACAACAAACTCCCTGCCCCAAAGGCAAAGCTGCAAGCAGCTCAAACTCTGTTGCATTTAAGAACTTCTTTGGAGCCAGGGAATGCAGCTTTAAGCAGACCTCAAGTATGAAATCCAGGGGTTCAAACTCTCGTACCCCTAAATAGTGCCCTTGCACACCATGCACCCTCACCTTCTGCTGCCCCCTGCCCTGGTACAAGTGACCCCTGCTGATGGCTCTGCTGAGCAGCAGGCGGCTCTCAGACGCTCAGGAACCTCCCTGTGTTTGTTCCCCTGGCTGTTTGCAGGCGCCAGCATCTCAGAAGCGGATCAACTCCGGCTGGTGAACGGCTCGAGTCGCTGCAACGGGAGAGTCGAGGTGCTGCACAACCAGCACTGGGGGACCGTGTGCGATGACAGCTGGGACTTAACCGATGCCACAGTCGTGTGCCGGCAGCTGGGCTGCGGGACGGCGATATCAGCCCCACGTGGGTCTTACTTTGGACGAGGATCTGACCCCATCTGGCTGGACGACCTTCGCTGCACGGGGACAGAGGCTGCCCTCTCGGATTGCAGGGCTCGGCCGTGGGGGGACAACAACTGTAACCACGGAGAAGACGCCGGGGTTGTGTGCTCAGGTGACCCTCCTCCGTCACAGTACTGTTTTCAGGGAATTATCCACAATGATTCCTCCATGTTGACCCCAACGCCCGAGCACAGAATTACAGCCTGACTGCATGGACCCTCCCGGGCGCTGATCCCTCTGCCCCCCCCCCCAGCACAGTGGGCACTGGGTAACCCTCGATCCCCTTGGTGGGATTTGGGTCAAATGGCACCTGCAGCTGCTCAGGGCAGTAGAGACCTGGCTCCTGTCAGGTGTCGGGCTCCCACTCCCATCACAGTGATTGTGATCTCAGCTAATTAGCCTGCATCGGTGACATCCCCCAGAGCTGTGGCCGGAGACAGGGTTCTTCCTCCCTTCCTCTCCTACCCGGCCCCCGTGTTATCAGCTGCCATGTCCCCCCAGAGGTGGCCGTGTGGTAGCAGTGGGCAGTGGCACACACCAGCAGGAGGTGCTGTGTTCCCCACTGTCTCTAGGGATCACGCCCAGGATCCTCCCTGAGTGTCTGTTCCCTTGGGTCATTAGCAGACTTCCCGTTGCCTGAAGTGGCTCCGAGCCGGCTGGCTGATGGCCCCAGTCGCTGCGCTGGGAGAGTCGAGGTGTTTCATGGCCTGCAGTGGGGGACCGTGTGTGATGACGACTGGGACTTAACTGATGCTGGAGTCGTGTGCAGGCAGCTGGGCTGCGGGACGGCGCTGGCAGCCCCCCACGGGGCTCACTTTGGGAGAGGCTCTGACCCCATCTGGCTGGACGACGTTCAGTGCACAGGAGCCGAAGTTGCCCTCTCCAAATGCAGAGCCAGGCTGTGGGGAGATGGTAACTGTCAACATGGAGAAGACGCTGGTGCGGTGTGCTCAGGTAACCCTCCTCCCTGGCGTCAGGCCGGGCGCTGCAGGGAGCGGGCTGGGAGCTTTCAGCGCTGACCCGGCTCTGCTGTCTGGCCAGCGCTGAGCCCTGTGCCCCAGGGTGGTGCTGAGGGGCCGCGCTGCAGGGAACCAGTTGGCGGGACAGGAAGTGCTGCTTTTGGCATGGTGTCAGTGGTGAACCCATTCCCCCTCCTCACAGTTCCAAGGGGGGGCTCTCTTCCCTCGCTGGCAGGGCTGGCCCCAGTGTGGTGCTCCAAGGCCTGTGTGCCTCAGGAAGCAGTTCCCCTGGATGTCAGGGTCACCATTTCTCCGTGGGTCACAACTGAGAACAGTGGGGACTGGTGAGGGGACACACAGGCTCCCAGCCCTGTGCTCCGCAGGCTGGAGTGGGGTCCTGAGGCCTTTGTCCTCGCTGAGGTGACAAGATGGTGTTTCTGGTCACATGCCTGATTTTGCTGGGTCAGGGTAGAAGCTGTGTCTACACTGTAAAGTATAAAAGTGTGGTGTCTCTCCCCGTGCTTCCGGTAACCCACCTCCATCTCCCCTCTGCCTTTGCTGCATCTTTAGTAACAGTTTTACCAGCCCCCTGCCCCAAGCTTCGGCGCTAGGCCGCTCCTAGGAATTGTTTGCTCCCGGTACATTACAATGACTTGTTATTGGGGTGGCCTCTTTCTGCCCTGAGCAGTTAGCTAACGGTCATGCCAAGTGGGTTGTTTCTGTTCGGAGAGACTGATTGAAATTGCTGCAGCTAAGCAGGCAAACGTGATCCTGTGAAGTATAACGGGGAATAGCAAGTTAGAGGCGGGAGAGAGTTTGGGCACTCAGTTGTGTAGCTTAAGTCGAAATAGTTTATTTTGACTTTTGGCGCTGTCTACACAGCAGGAAGTCCGAGTAAGAGTGTTCTTCCTCCGGCTTCCCTTCCTCCTCGTAAAACGAGGGTTACAGTCTGAGTAAGAAGTCCTCCAGCTCAACATTATTTCGACATTATGTTGTGTAGACACAGACTATGTTATTTTGGAATATCGTCAGTTATTCCTAAATAATGCTGCTCCGTAGACATAGTCTTATGAACATTGCTGGATTTCTGCAGCACAGTCCTGGTTATTTACAAAGCAAGTACAAAGTCCTGTCTCTCTGAACAGAGCCGAAATCAAACAGCAGGTGAGAGTTTCTTTGCTCATAGTTCAAAGTCTCTTTCAGCCCATCCTGACCCCAAAACTCTTAGCATTTTCAGGTCACGTGATCAGTGATTCTCTGGCCGCATTTGGGCTTCTTTGCTCCTTCTCTGCAGCCTTCTGTGTGTTTCTGCTGCCTCTTTCTCTCTCCTACACATGCACAGGCACACCCACACACACCCCCACCAATCAGTGTCACACCCAGCCTCTGTGTTTACTGAGTCCCAGGGAAACCCCACCGGCCACAGGGCTCCCTTTCTCACAAGCTTTGCCTGCATCATACTGGCTGATCAGTGCTCGAGCCCTGAAAGAACGAAGTGGCAGGGCCCCGGTGCAGAGGCCTAGGAAAGCTCTGGAGTGGAGTTCTGGGGTGTCCCAGCAGGACGTGAGATGCACTGAAATGTGCTGAACAGCACAAACCCCAGCTCCAGCACACACAGGCAGGCCTGGGCCACGGCATCTTCCTGCAGTACAGGACCCAGCCGGCAAGTTCAGACTCAGATACAGATCTGGCGCCATCTGGCGACATTGGTGCAGCCTGCACCGATCACTAGAGCATCCCCTCCCCGCCAGTTACAGAAGCAGCATTCCAGGAGCCCAGGCGCCCTGCCAGCCACATGAGTTTCCTTGTCACTCCGCCTGGGCGAGGCTGGTCCTCAGCCCTGGAGCCATCGGCCGTAGCTGGACGTAGGTTATTGGCGAGGGGAGTTCAGGGCTCGTCGTATCCATTGGTGCAGCCTGCACCGATCACTAGAGCATCCCCTCCCCGCCAGTTACAGAAGCAGCATTCCAGGAGCCCAGGCGCCCTGCCAGCCACATGAGTTTCCTTGTCACTCCGCCTGGGCGAGGCTGGTCCTCAGCCCTGGAGCCATCGGCCGTAGCTGGACGTAGGTTATTGGCGAGGGGAGTTCAGGGCTCGTCGTATCCCTGCGAAACCCCCCTCTCCCCCACAAAGGAGGAGGATCAGGATGCTTGTTCCAGTTGTGCAGCCATATGTGTCCTTCTAGCCCAGGCGGCCACTCCTCTGCCCAGCCAGCTCAGCTCTGGCCGGCCCCTTCTGGCTTCTCTTTCCTCCCGCTCTGCAGTGTTGCCCCGCCCAGGTCACTGGGACAAGGCCAGGGCTACGCTGCACAGTCGCTGGGGTGTAACTGGGAAGCACCCACCCCCGAGGGAGGGATCTCAGCTCCCCCCTGACAGGGCTGTGTTGGCAGGAGACTCTCACGGAGGCGGGGCTGGGGAGGTGGCAGGAGAGCTCTCGCCTGGCTCAGAGCAGCGGTTTGCAGTCTGTGCTCCCCCAGTTCTTCTTTTGCTGTCTTGGGCAGGTTCCTCTGAGCGGCTGGGCTCTGCTGCAGACCCTTTACCAGACTACAGACTCCTCCCCTTTTCTGGGTTGCCTTTGTGTAGCCTACAGTGACCAGGCCGAGTGAAGAAGGAAGCAAACGGGTGTTGGCAGGGGTCTCCTAGGCTATGTCTACACTGGCGGATCTTGTGCAAGAACAGCTTGCACAAGGGTTCTTGTGCAAGAAGTCTTGTGCAAGAAAACATCCACACTGCCCTGTGCGAGCTGTGCTTTTGCACAAGAGCATCCATGGCAGTGTGGACGCTCTCTTGCCCCAGAAAGCTCTGATGGCCGTTTTACCTGCCAGGCAGCCACACTGCCCTCTTGTGCAAGAGCTATGCAAGAGGGCTTACGCCTGTTAAAAAAGGGCATAGCTCTTGTGCAAGAAGCCCTCTCTCACCACGCTGCACTGGAAATCTTCTTGTGCCAGAGTGAGTGGGCAGTGTGGATGTTTTCTGGAAGAACAGCCATTCCTGTGCAATAACCCACCAGTGTAGGCATAGCCCTGGGGTTGCCCTGTCCGCCCAGCCTTGGGGAAGCTCATGGTTTCTGCTCAGGCTGCTGGCAGGAAGTAGGGCTCAAACCCACAGCTCCAGAGACTGTTGCTTATCCACTAGGCCAGTGGTCCCCAACGCGGTGCCTGCGGGCGCCATGGCACCTGCCGGGGCATTTGTGTGCACCCGCCAACAACCTGGGCCGGCATTTTCAGAAGTGCTCAGCATCTGAAATTCTGTCCAGATTTTCAAAAGGACTCAGTTTCTATTCAGGAATGAAGTGGCCAGATTTTCAGAAGTGCTCTGTACCCATTAGTTCCTATTGTTTTCAACTCAAAACCATTTAAAAGTGTCCAAACTGACGGTTTCTGCCTTGTAAGAAAATCTGGCCCTTAATATATAAAACTCTGGAAAGTATACACCCCACTCATCGACACATCTAAAAACTGGTATGAATGATAGACTTTTGGCTTTTTCACTTCGTTTTAAAAAAATTGACATGCTCAAAATGATTTTAATTTAGTTAACTGAACAAAAAGTAAAAGCTGGAAGACAACATATGAATCCTCTGTGAAATACAGAGAAAAGGCCCCTGCATAAGAAATTACAACCAGATCCACATTTTGTCATCTTCCACTGAAGTGGCTGAGAGCCTATTAACTTTAAATGTGCAGGCTTGCTTGAGCAATGCTCAGAGTTGAGCCACACTGGCCCACTGAAAGACCCGACCCGACCCACCCTCTGGCCTCCCTTCAGTCCCACATTACAAGGCATGTGCCTCGTTTAAACAGAAAGTTGCCTGTCCCGAACTGAGCCAGTGCAGGAGCCTTATATCCCCTATTTCAGGGATCGGCACCTTTGGCTCCCAGCCCCCCGGGGGAAGCCGCTGCTGGGCCGTGAGGCGCATTGTTCACCTTGAGCGTCTGCAGGGACGGTCCCTGCAGCTCCCCCTGGCCGGGGTTCGCTCTTCCCAGGCAATGGGAGCTCTGGGGCCCGGACCTGCCAATGCTCAAGGTGAATAAAGCATTCGCGCCTCGCCAGCGGCTTCCCCTGCCGGGCTGGGAGCCAGTGACTGCGGATCCCTGCCCTACTTCAACTGCAGGGGGCAGTGCTCACCGACGCACCTGCCCCCTCCCCTGCTGGCCCTTCAGAGCTGTGCAGGGAAAGCAGACGGGGCCTGCCTAGGGGCCGGGGCAGAGGGCAAGTGGAAAGATGTGTAGTGAATACTGCCCCCTGCTGGACAGGCACCCTGCTGACTCCTGCCCTCCAGTGTGATCCCTTTCCCTGCACAGGCGCCGTCTGGCAGGGCAAGCGGCTGG